TAGATTCTAAGTTCATTTCCTTCTTTTTAGATCTGATGGATAAGAGCCTCTACCCCTAAATGTTTCACTATTATTTCGTTTTTAATTTTTTTTACCGCTCAGTCTGTTCGCCAAACTATCCCTTACTTTTGTCGAGTTCTGATTATTTGAGATCATCTTTTTTATTTTACGCCATTTTTTCTCATTATCTCTTCATTTGATATCGCTATAATGGCGGGGGGAATACAAAATATAGTCCACCATCTTTGGATTTATGAAAAACTAGTCTGTCATTCTTTTCAGCGAAACCTTTCATTTGATACCCATGTCATGGGAGTGCATTACAAAAACTTAAAAAATATTCGTATGTCGAACCATTTACCTGTGCTAGAGTATGCCCGACTTTTGGTAGTGGAAAGTGAAAACGAAGAACACTTTCGTTCAGCTCAGTACAATCGCAACATAGGAATTCTGTATCACCTTTGTCAACACATAGTATTGGACTCCACGTAGTTGGAGTTTGAATCGATTCAATAATGTCCAAATTCAGTGAACGATGAAACTCTACTCTTAACTCTGGAAGCAAAAATTGAATTTGTTCTGAACTTACAGCTAAACTATATGTAATCTCTGACTTTTTTACCATCGAAGTTATGACCATTAATCATGCACACATTTCTAGTTGGGAAATTCAGAAATATGAACCAGTTGCCTCAGCTCCTTAACTATATGAATAGTTTTTTTTGTAGTTCCACACTGTATCTAAGTTGTAATCTTCTGCTGCTTTCACAGAATTACATTGATTCAACTCAATTGAAAATTTCCTCGGTAACATCGCATATGAAAAACAGTTGACATCTGTCCCAATATCCGCGAAGAATAGAATCTTATGTTTGCGATTGAGCAAAATATCTACATAACACCTGTCCTGCCTATACAAGTATACCTCTCCAATGAAACTTCCTTCGTCAGCGGTCTGATCCAGTGACTCCTTGGAACTGCTGCAATCCTTACAGCGTTCAACTGAACGAACATATTTTTTTGTTGCTTCTACACGTGGTACTCCAATGCGCTTTTTTGCCAGAAGCTCTACACGTAGATATCTTCGCTGGTGACTTTTCCTAATTTTTGAAAAAATGCACACTACAGTAGCGATACTTCTGGACATTTTTTGTTGATGTAGAATGTTTTCCTTCATTTTCGTACTGAATTTTTTTTCTACATATATACTGTTCTTGACATATGTTGAAGTTTTGCTTGTTAAACTGCTCTTATTGCTTCTGCCAATGTCAACCCATCTCGTAGTTGCAGTCTCTCGCTGATCTTTGTGTCTGCTACCCCTTATAACTATCCTATCTCGTATCGTTTCTTCTAACTGTGCAACATATTGCAATGTTCTGCTAGGGCGTGTAGATGGGTGATGAAATTTTACACTGATTCACCTGGTCTTTGCTCACGAAAATTACTTTCTTTTTGGAATATAATATTTGTCGAAGTTTTCAAGTACCTCTGCATATGTTACATTATTGCTGAGGTTTTGTTGCAGTATAATCTCCTTCGGCTCATTTCCCATCTAGTAGATGAACACGTCAATTGCTAGGGCTGGGGGGAGTTAAACTCAGCATGCGCCTCGATATTCACGAATATATCTGGCCATTCTTCCGTAATTGTTGAGTTATTATTTGGCATCATGATGAGGAGGAAAGATCCTTCTTCTCAAGCGTTTTTGCAACTTGCATCCCGGCTGATTCGCAAATCCCGCCATTTCTTCTAGGTTATCATTCACTGAAGCCCGAAAACGGTAGGTGAGTGCCTACTCATCTCCAGAAAAATACACACTTGCTTTATTGATGCCCTATAAATATAACAATTCACGTATATGGTCTCATTACCCCACGTCTCGGAAGAGAGTGGTGCCTAAACTTCATGGGAAAAAACATACTTTGTACCCGTATAAAATTAAACTTGATCCTATAAGGACACTAATTTCACTGGAGTTGAAGAAAGATGAATTTCATAGAAAGTGAGTCAGTACGATTCAAAATATAACTATTGGTAAATTATTTGAACAATTCACACCTAATTCCATGTATAATTTCATTAATTTGTTTTTATCACAAAAAAAATTGTATTTACCTGAGATTGTGGCCAGGTACTGAAACCGTCTTCTGTTTTTATCCATTATAACAAAGGCCAACCATTCAATTGAAAATTGGAGTGAAAGTTAATTAGTATATTTATATACATGTACCGATCATTGTTCTCATTTCAAAAACATTATAATTTATACTTCCAAAATATGTGTAAATACAGTATTTAATCCTTTGGCATAGCATATTTGAATATCATATTTGTCCAAAAACATTGAACAACCCGTGAGGATATTAAAAATAATATGATTTACAGAATTCCAGATATTCCACACAGATTATGATAACGATCGACGTAATTTACCTTTCATACACTCAATCAGTGCCGGCCTCAGAGCTCTTGGCATCCCAAGAAGTCTCTGAATTGTTATAACATTTATCCACGAAAAATATGGGAAAACAACGCAAAAGAACGATTTAACTAAAAAACTGAGATGATTTCAGTAAAAAATCAATTATGTATCGAGTTTTGTAGGAGTATCGGATAGGTGAATATTATAGAGGTCATCGCCTTGATTGATCCATGTAATGACTAGAAGTAATTATTCAGTAGTTGCTAACAGAATCCTCTATCCCACTGGAAATATGTTGATATTCAAGTTGAGTGATGATATTTTGAGGAAATAACTTGCAGAGTTTTGATATCAGAGATTGTCACATCAGATCAGGATACTTCATTTATTATTCGGAGCTTTTATGCCTGTCCTGAAGGACTTATGAGGCTTTGTTCAATTCAGGATACTTGCCCTTGTCTCTATACTGGTTTCCTCAACAAGAGGAGATGTAACCCTTAAATATCTGCTTCCACATCGGTGATAATATCCTTCCCAGGAATTATGGGTGGTTTAAGAGGTAAATTGCCAAAATGGGAAACCATTTTGTTCATTTTCTCTCAATAATCCGCACCTGATTATTTTTACTGATTTTGATCTCTGGTCAATGTCATTAGGTACTATTAATATCTCACTGTGTTTCACTGTGCTCGCACAAGTTTCTCTACTTCTGAGAGTTGTCGTTCGTATGGGGGTGACAGCTGATTAACGAAAAAACAGATTTTAAAACAGACAAAAACAAATTTTGTTAAGTTTCCGTTGAAATACTACAAAATATTTGCGTATTAGGAATGATTCATCAAAACTCAATAATGTTTATCTCATTTGTCTGAAAGTGGTTGACAATATTTTATGGTAATTTTTACTAGTTCGGATTTCCATTGTCTATTATGATATAATATGATTTGAAATCTCTGAAAGAACAAATAACATCAAAAATCAAAGTGAATAGCTGAAAATAACAATTATATCAATCAATAAAACGTGAAATGAAATTACAGTGAAATGAAAGTAAGCAAAAAATTGAAAAATCGAAAAATTGGAAAATAAAATGAATAATTGAGAAGATTTCAAACCAAGTTTCTTCACTGTTTCCATTATTAGTATCTACAATCGTCTTCGGGTGATGACTGGACTATTTCTCCGAGAGATGACCATTTGTAGGTCATTCGAACGCTGTCACCTATTTCCTCTTCCCTATCTCCGCTTCACCAGTTAAGAGGCAGTTGACCGTTTTTCTGTTTGAGGTTTCCATATAATGCTGCGTATTTCTATGCTAGCTTGGCTAAATGTGTCTTTGGACGAGATATATGCAGCTTATTTGAACTTCCTTTCAAACCAGTGTCCCTCCCTGTGGATGATCTCAGTTCAGGATCATTTGATGTTATGTTGGTGAGTCCAAACATTCTCTGCCGTTTCCGATTGGCTGAATTTTCCCCGCTGTTTGATCCTCTTGTGCTCGCCAATGCGGACTTTCAATAGCCTCTTAGTTTCACCGATATAAGATTTGCTGCACTCATAAGGTATCTGATGAATGCAATTTCTAGAATTGCAGTCCGCGTTTAGCGGCCTAGTTTTAGTAAGGCTGCTACGGATGGTGTTTCAAATCTGAAGCAGGTTCTGATGTTGTACTTGGACCCAATTCTTTTTATTGTTTACGACAATTTTTGACTTAGGGGAGGGCAAACACTTGTTGTGATGGCTTCTCTTCCTTTTGAGGCTCTTACTGTCTTTTAGGCAAAATCTGTTCCACCACCACTTTGGATTAACCATTTCGTTGAAGATCTTTTTCGATGATGTCTAGCTTCTCGAAACCTTCCTTCATATAACAGAGCCCAAAAGTATGATCCGCTAGAGTCTTGATGATTCCGCTTTCGGTGAATTATTGGTGATTGCATTCGTGATTGGGTTTCGTGTGAGTGGGTTTTAGGTATAGAGATGTTTCACACTTAATGTTGGTCCTCTTCACCAATACGTCCCAGAACGGCAATTCGTTGTGGATTTCCTTTTCCATTGTTAAGATGATGGAAGATTTCACGCTGTCAATGTGCTTCAGAAAGGTGTCTAGTTCTATATTCCCATGGTTACATACTATGGAAGTGTCATCGACGTATCTCAACCAGACTTGGGGCTTCTTATGTGCTTGTGAAGTAACTTGGTTTGAAATATTTTTTAATTACCTATTTCACATTTTATTCGTTCAATTCATTAAGTTTTTGAACATTTTCATTCTATTGTAATTTGATTTCATGTTTCATTACTTAACATGATTGTTATTTTTAGATATTCATTTCAATTCCTAATTTTATTTGTTCTTTCAGATATTTCGAAACATACTTTATCATAATAAATAATGGAAGTTTGAACAAGTGAAAATGTTTATTTTTTTATATGGCTTTTATTCATGTGTTGGTCACCCCTTCTCCAGTAAAGCCGGCGCTGTACCCAATGAACGTAGAGAAGGCAATTGTGGTAGGTCTTAGACATATTTCCACAAAGCCTTTGTAATGCCAGTCAAGTATATTTCAAGATTCAAGGAAAAAATTAAAATTTCATTCAATTAACATCTGTAAGAATATTATTTCAGATATTTTTTGTTTCCAAAGTTCAAGAACTTTCGTAAATATTTCGGCTTCAAATTCATTTGATCTCTTGATTTCAGTTACACCGCAGGTCTGATCAACATTCTGGCTCTTGCGTGACAATATTCATGGCTTCTAAATGTATTCCAATGCACTCCATGAAATTTGTATTGTTCAGGGAGATTGGCGTTCAGATATTTGCCATTGAGGTTACTCAGATGACAGGATTTATACCACCAAGCACCACCTGTAAGAAAAAGTTTATATTATATCAATTGATATTATTTTTTGATTGATTAGACAACAATAAACAATTTTAATGTAAAATACTCGTAACTATGAATACTTATTGAATCTGTATATTTTTACAACTAATCAGTTGCGAGTGATATCAGATAGTTTGGGAAAAAAAGTTTTTGCCCTTCTATCTCTCTATCTTAATGCAAAAGATGTTTGGAATACATATGGAATAGAAAAAAGTGTTTTTTGTATAATTCAGCGTTCATATAAAAAGTACTTGTTTCGAAAGTAATTTTCTAAATGAACATTGAACAACACGAAAGAGTTCTTACGATACATTTACGATACATTACGACACATTACGATACATTACGATACATGATTTTATATGGACATTGAATTATACAAAGACACTTTTGTATTCAGTTTGTACTCCGAACATTCGTTATGGAATTGAGTCAGATATTCACATGATTGCTACACAATATAGAGATAGGGATAAAATTACACTTGAATAAAACACTGCCATCCTTAATGTCATATATCGATGTTTCGAAATAAGATATTTGAATGAATATCATTACGTGCTGTCATAGTGACATCCGCGACGTGAAGTCGTGAAGTAATGAATGAGTTGAGTGCTTCAAGTTGTAATATTATCAAAATTGGTGCTGAACAGGCAACAAGACAAATGTTTTATTCCGAAAAATCGATGTCCGCCATTGAGGATGACAGTGTTCTATGAAGGTGAACTTTGTTCTTTTTGTAGAGGGTTAATTTTTCAAAATTTATTGGTTTTTTTCTTTCGTTGGAAGTATCCCACATTGTTCTGTATGAAGATGGAGGAGTACCAAGCCAAAACCTTTCTTTCCCAAAAATTGATCTCTCCTAAAAATATATCCTTTTAAATTTGAACGAATGAGTGTCATTACGTACTGTCGTCGATGACATGATTAGATTCAACTCATTCGTGACATAAAGCGTAATTTTATGATTGCCTTGAGTGCTTCAGCTTATAATGTTATCCAGATTGGTGCTGAAGAGGCAATATGGAAAGTGTCTTATTCCGAAACATCAGATGTCCACCATTGACGATGACACTGTTCCTTATGAGTGAAATTTCAACTCTTTCTATCACTATTGTATCAATCCTGTGAATGATATCTGATTCAATATCATAACGAATGTTTAGAGTACAAACTGAATGTTGTATGACTGAATGTTAGTGGAATTCCGTCTCTTTCATATGTTATTGTGTAGCAATCCTGTGTAGCAATCCTGTGATTCAATTCCATAACGAATATTTGGAGTACAAATTGAATGGAAAAAGTATTTTTTGAATAACTTATTTTTCCAATGGAAAAAATTGTTTTGTTATGTTTTTATCTTTCGATGATACTAACTTGCTTAGAGAAATGTTCTTCGAGAGACAGTGTTTTGTTCTGTTGTGTGAAAGTGAGAAAATTTTTGAAATAATCATTAGGGTTATTAGTAACTGAGATATCAGGCTCTACTGAAAGAAATATGGATAACATTAACTTGGTTGCTGAACATTGGAGCACGAGACCTGAATATTGGTTCATAATTGGGGTGTATTCGTTTCAAAAACATAGAACTTTTTTGATTGACGACTCGTTCATTTTGTGGAAATTCATGTTTACTGAGGATATACTATTAAATCACACTTTTTTCTATTTTCCACGACAGTTTTATATTCGTCGACTACACCATTTGTTGATTATACCATTTTCAAAACTAACTATATTACATTCATATCTGAGTGTTTATACCTATATTGCCTATACCCATCATGGATAATTTGATACCTACATTGTCTATACCTGAGATAACCTCAAATAATAGCATATATCCATGAACATAACAAAAATTTTTTTTTGATAAATTGTGGGTATTGGGAACTGGGTTATAGGTTCAGGAAAGGACTATTGTTTGGATCAAGTTGTTCGTTGAAGATGATAGATTTGGGATTTTTCTTTCACTTGTTTATTTCCATAAATTGCAACAAACTCATCATTTTCCCTTCTTCGCATGTATGGAGGATTTTGAAATTATCTTTATCCATTTTAAGTTTCGAATTTTGAAGATGTTCATACATTAATTCATACATGAATGACATGTTCATGGTACCTTATAACAAAACCTCTACCAGGTTAGCCTGTATATTTGGCGGGGCATTTACCAAATTGTCGATATACATATACCAGATCTCCTCCCTTTTACTATTTTAGGTTTGACATCAAATAATCTGTTTCCTAAATTTTGGTTGAATGTGTAGGATGTTTGTAGATTGAATTTTGAAAGATAATTTTTAATATTCTCGGAGATTCTACCTGGACAATGTTCTTTCATCACTGAGTTTTGATATTTCATTACACTTTTTACATCGACCTTTTTGGGTATTTTTCACCTTACGCAATCTGAAAAATATAAAAATTATAATGGAGAACTTTATATAAATGTAGAAAGGGCAAACTTTTTAGTTCATCCCGATAAGTTACTACGTAAAATCGAATTATTTTTCACAGAGAAAAATGTTCTATTCAGTAACTTGTCGTATTTAAAGATTCTGCTAATAAAAGAAATCTGAGAACTGATACAATACTAACTTTTAACTTTAACTTTACATTTCGGGGGCTAAAATCTGCCTCCGCGCGCGTCTTCAGAAATGGACAAAAAAATTCTAAGATATTTGCAGTCATTTATTCATTTGATTATTTGATTATTTATGTCTCAGCTTCTTTGACAGATGTCAAAAGAGTTTGGAAATATGAAATCATTATAAGATGGTTCAACGAGACAAATAACTCAATACTTGAAATTTCTCAATAGTCTACACGATAAAATCAAATTTACCGTAGAGATAGAACAGAACAATTGGATAAATTTTTTAGATCTGACAATATCCAAAAACAATGATTAATTTGACTTCGACATTTTCAGAAAAACACATTCACAGATTTCATAATACCTTTTGACTCTTTCAACCTGATTTCACAAAAATTGCCTGCATTCAAGTCGATGATACATAGGGCTTTCACAGTATCCCTTTCTAGTCAAAACCTCCGGAGTGAAATCGCAATCATTAAACAAAAATAGCAGTTATTAACTAAATACCTATTACTCTGTTAACATCATTATAATGAAATATCAACAAAAAAACTGTGATGAAAGGAATATATTCAATTTCCGGAAGACCAGAATAGAACACAAATATCGCACACTGAGAACGTGGCGTAAGTCTCAAAATTGAAAATTGAGTTAGGACCATCGGGGTGATCCAAATCACTCGTCATTATGGCAGTGGGGAAAATGCGCAACAGATTGTGTGTAATAGTGGCAAATTCAGTTTTGTGCAAAATTTCAATCAGAAAGGTTGAGAAGTTTCATTATTTCAGTGGCGAAACAACAGTTTCGCCGTTGGTCCAGCAATTTTGGTATTAATACAGAAACCAGTTGACGAAAGGTGAGTATCTTCGACCTGAAATAAATTTCTCTTTATATTTTGTATCACAATGGCGAATGTATCTTTTTGTCATTACTTCTTCCTAATATTTCAACAATTTGTGGTTCTATTTAAACGAAAGTACTTTTTCGTTGTTAGTACCTGCATTTTTTATTTCGGATAATGATCATTCGCCATTGTTGCTTTAAAATGATGTTGCCAATGTTCACTTGTACATGAAGCAGAGTAAAATTTCACCATCAATTTGCTCAGAATTCTTAGGAATATATTTTTCTGGAAATTGTATGCCATTTGACTGGCGCTTCAAACTCCAAGAATAACTTCTGAATGTTTACCGATGTCTCTGGTCCGTAGTCCAAACGAGAACTATGTTCACTCTTAGCACCTTAATTCTGAATTGTGTTTTTCTGCAAAACTACGTTGTCGTGGGAAGATGAGCGGGCGCTCGACAAAAATGTTCATTGCGTTGGGCATCAAGTTGGAGTAGATGAACAACACCGGTTCTATGACATCGGAAATTCAACTAATAGAAGCAAGGAATTCGCCATTGTTGCTTTAAAATGATGTTGCCAATGTTCACTTGTACATGAAGCAGAGTAAAATTTCACCATCAATTTGCTCAGAATTCTTAGGAATATATTTTTCTGGAAATTGTATGCCATTTGACTGGCGCTTCAAACTCCAAGAATAACTTCTGAATGTTTACCGATGTCTCTGGTCCGTAGTCCAAACGAGAACTATGTTCACTCTTAGCACCTTAATTCTGAATTGTGTTTTTCTGCAAAACTACGTTGTCGTGGGAAGATGAGCGGGCGCTCGACAAAAATGTTCATTGCGTTGGGCATCAAGTTGGAGTAGATGAACAACACCGGTTCTATGACATCGGAAATTCAACTAATAGAAGCAAGGTATACGGGGTGTGCAGCGTTAAAAAAAACATGGATGCTGACATAACTGAAAAAAAAACATGGCATCCAGCGTTGTAGAAAAAAAACATGGCTACAATAGTTTAAGGAAAAAAAACATGGCCGACGTCAAAGTATACAAGGTGTTTGTAGCGTTAAAGAAAAAAGATGGGGTCCAGCATGAAAGAAAAAAACATGGTTACCATCGTGATATACAGAGTGTGCAGCGTTCAAAGAAAAAAACTTGGCGGCAGACATTGAGCGGAATATAAAGAAAAAAAAACATAGCTGCCAACATGCAAGAAAAAAACATCCAACTTGACATCACCAGGAGATGACGGAGAAACAACATAGATGGGCGCGCTCAACTTGAAAGGCTAGGAGGGTCTAATATTTTTTCGTGGGATCCAACATGCCAGGCATTATTTGTCATCAATGTGTCGAATATGTATATGAATTAACAAAGTTTCGGATCTGTAAGTTTCATCGAAAAATAAACACTTCCGGTTTATAAAAACTGAGATAGAAGCAAAGTAATGTATCGAGTATCTGTATTTCGGATGTTGATATTATATTTGACTCGGTTGTGCAAAGTTGCCAAATGTAAGGTGGTGAATG